AATATAAAAATAATTAAAAATTGAATTTATATATATATCAAAATTAAACTATTAGACTTTATTAAACTACATCTAAAAATACATTTCAAATGGAAGATTTTATTGATGAATCATTTAAACATAATATCAAAAGAAATTTAGTAATTAAAGAATTGAAAAAATATAATATAAGAGAATATAAAATTAAACAAAATAATGAATTTTTTGAGATATTTATAAATTTTAATGGGTCTTTAGATAATTATAAAAAAGTATATTCTTTTAAAACATATAATAAAGTTCAAAATATTGATAGAAAAAGATTAAAAAGAAAAGCAAATAATGATGATATTAATAAATTAGAACAAAATATTAAAAAGATTAAATTAGATTAAATTATAAATATCTGTCCTTGGTAAAGATATAAAACTTACTGGTAGGATGGATAGCAAAAATAGAAAAAAAATTGTTGAATAATATCAATCACATGATATGAAACCTATCTTCCATATAACCCATGTAATCTAAGTATATCCTTTTTCGCAGTTATGATAACATAAAGGGATAAGTCCGTGCCCGTCGCTGTTATTTCCGGCAGAGACTTTTGGCCAGGGGGTTTTATGACGATGAATCTATGCCACAATCTCTTCTCCCAATATTAAGAGAAGAACTCTTCGACGCCTATATCGAAGAAGCGAAAGCCATTCTCTCAGTCATCAGCAACAATAACAATAATCATCGTGCTATGCTATACAGAAGTGTTCTTCAGCAACCTCGCACTTCACAAGTAATTGACCATAATTCAAAAGCAGCATTTATCAGTTTGTTACCACTTGCTGTATGTCAAGAGCTTGAAAGATGGTTTGGTTCGGATGATGCATATGGAGAAATCTGGTGAGTGCTGCTAAAAAACTTTAAAGAAGAAGCGTTGCAGCACAAAAAGCAGCAAATTATGCATCCAGTTTACCACACTCAGGCAATGAGAAATCTACTGCGTAACAAGAACGAAAATAATGCTGATGCTTCAAAAAAGCAGTGGCGCGAAGAACGACACAACTTTTATATACGAAACAAGGAATCTCTTGCAAAGCACTGGGAAATTCATGAGTCTTACGCCAAAGAGATTTTTATGGAGATCACAAACGATTACAAGAAGTACCAAATATAAAAGGGGCACCTTTTCTGTCTTTTACAATTACTTGCTTTACCCATATTCTGTATATCAGCACTATATCGATTGCTTAGTTTGCGCTCATTGCTACTGTTAACCGCCGATTTTATGTGATTAGAAAGAACGAATGCGATGAAAAAATTATATAAGCAATGTACAATCTTTTAGGAATATATATAGATAACATTATATTTTGACAAGTGCAAAGTGGTGGGAAAGAGAAAGGAGGAGACGCAAATATGAGAAAATGAACGATGAATAGAGAAATCGAGCAGTAAAAAGACGAACAAAGTTATTTTATTTTCAATATAGTTGATCCATTTACTGAGGGTGGCACGTTTGTCATCGCCAAGTTCCAGGAGATTCACCATCCTTAAAGGTTGATTGTGTTTAAAGAAATAGATTCACGTCAGATAAAATACATATGCTCATAAATTACACTACAAACTTACGACCTTGCAATGCTAAGGGATACTGTGGACCTGGCATCGATGAAAAAGAAAAAATTCGTATCATGGCTCATATTATTTAACTTTTCGGAAGGTGATGATGCTACCTTGGTACAGCTTGCATATCAGCTAGCAAGATCCAGAAAACGCAGTTGCTTTCTTCAGGCTCCATTACGTCAGAAGAGCCACGCTTGACGGCCTCTTCAAACAACGCATTCTTTTCTGAGGCATTCTGGGACCTAGTTCGTAACGTCATCGTTAGTGAACTACCTTTTCCTCACATATATCATAGCTTTCAACGGTTACTTACAAAGATGCATTCGCAAGAATTGCATACAGCAAATGTGTCTTAATGCTGCAGTTGGAGACACTTTTTTTCAAGCACTTCTTGTCGAATATGCGATAGCGCTGGTTAGTGGACTCTAGGTAATCTCGAAGCAACGCAAAAATTCGATCCTTGTTGGGCAAAAAGGATACCCCTATCAAATTGTGTTGTTCAGTTTGTACGCCAACTGTCCTTGCTACTGCTGCTGCTGCTAATGATGCTGATGACGATGATGATGACGAGGGTGCTGCCGTTTGCACATTGTGAAGGCACTTTAAATGCGTGCCGCAACGTATCTATTCTCAGCAGTTGTGAAATCTTGTTGAAAAAAAGTTGAATAAGGATCTTGTTCAATGATCTGCACCTGTAAACAGTGCTACCCGCTTCAGCAGTACATGCCAATTATATCCCCGTCTATGTGAAAAAGAAATAAGCTTAAATTGACGTGCTTATTTCGTTCGTAAAGCTAATCATCCAATCGTCTTAGTTCTTGAAGCTGGTTTTTTTGTGTAGGCACTCAGTATAGAAGTGGTCCAGATATCCAATGGAAATGGGAACGTTCTGATATGTGCAGTAATATGTCAAACACTTAATTGTTACTCTAGTATTGCACTGGTCCATTTACCAAGGATGATGATAGCCCGCGCCTTATTTGTACATATACAGGAATAAATATCGAGGTATAATTGTCATCACAGACCGCTGTTGCTGTTGAACGATGATGTAATTCAAACATGGACTATCATTTATTGAAACCTATGAATGCGTACATAATAGCAGATACTGTACGCTGGATAGTAGTAGACGCTTGTGTGTGTGATATTCTATGCCATCATAATAATATATACTATATGTAAGTATATTAATCAATCGCGCTATCGCCATCATGATCATTAAAAGAAGGAGTCATTACCCACTCATTATCTGCCAGCAGTACCAACCCTTTCCTTCTTTGTTCATGAAACCATGAAACTTTGTGCATATATACTACGAAGTGGCATGTTTGAGATTCTCACTCACGACGACCAACATCATCCCCAAACTCCAAACGACACAAACAAGCATGTCATCTTTATAAGGTTAATATTAGTGCATAGACAACAAAGGTTGAGCTTATGATAATGATTGTTTCTACGTTCTCGCTATGCAATTGTGTACATCCCATTTGACTTATCCAGCTTATTTAATCCCACGCTAAACTCAATAACGCTTATCCCATGTACCACTAACCAAGCTATTCATTGCATTCGCTAAAAGTCAATTGCAAGTGTAAGGTGGCATGTGACACGTGATAGGCAGAATTAGCTGGGAGGATACCAGCTGGCAGGCTTATTATATGAAAGGCATCTCTGTGCTCGGCAGCACGAGCTTTTGTATTGACTTTGTACATCGACTTTCCTAGCAATACGTGTTTATTGTATAATTGATGAAAGTGAGTTCTTAAAGAGCATGGTGCGTCACTTTTAGAATGAGTTTGTATTGACTGACGAAGATATGTGTATTGAGAGATCAAAATGTACATTGGCTAGATCAAAGATTCCACCAAGCTACCTGAATCTGTATTGCGGAATCCGAAATGTGTATTCCATCACCCCCAATCTATGTATCTCCAAACGCAAATGACTGTAACGATATGATATACTTGACCCCTCCCCCCATAGCTTTTTCCCATGTGTCTAAGTATACATGAAGGGTTTTCAATTCACAAAGCTCCCCATATCTGTCTCAACCAAATTTGCCCCACCAAAACGCAGTGTTCAATAAGAGACGTTGAATAAAGACCAAAACTTTAAACGTAACGATTTGATAAGGAGAATATATAGACGTGCTCGACAGAAGATTATACCAGAAGAGATAAGACCCAAAAATATACCGCTGGCTCTTGCTTGTGTAACTACGCTAGTTGTAATCTCGGGTTACTCAACCTATGCCACATTGACGGCTGTCTCAACATTTTGATTTGTTTGCTATACAAAAAGTATCATCGTCAACAATATCGATTGTTACTTTTAAATGCTTACTATATTAGTCCTCTATGTATTTGGTTGTACATACTAAAGTTAAATTTTTAAGGCGTCCAATTTAATAACATAGTCGCCACTACGCTTATATCACTCTCATTTAATAGCCGTAGGAAGGTGGGATTGTTTTTTTCACGAACTTTCTGATAACTGCGCAAGAAGACGAGGCTAATCCGACTATTCGGGGCAATCATTTACGCCTTTATATGTGTGGTACCAAACATTGAATTTAATGCCTGCGTAATTCATCACTCTTCGAGTACCTGTGAAAATCCTGTCGCGTCAATTGTATGTAAATGATCTATGTACGCGATGCATATGCATTGCACGGTGGCAAAAACACGAATGTAGCTGCAGCGATCAATAGTGGTTTAAAGAATGCTAGTTAGACTGGCTAAGATCAATGGGATAATTGGATCTGTTTCTTTTTCACCTATTGAGCGTAGTATGAACGTACTATAAGAAGGACATATCCTTAAGAAATATATTCTTACTCTTTAAAAAAGAATTATACTTAAGTTGATAGCTGTTAAGCTGCTGGAAACACACCAGGTTTTCAACTGCTGGTGATGTAGATGTGCGGTCCTATTGTTGCATCACAATTAGCTCGCGGAGAAAACCTAAAAAGTGAAAAGCGAGTAGTACACAAGAAGGATCTGAGATCAGAAAAAAACCTTTTAAGATGCTTTGTGATTCAGTTTTTACTTCTGTTGTTCCCCCAGCAATTTTTTTTACTTCTTATAGCTTTATTATTTGTAGGTTGGATTCCCTTTACCGTATTCTTGTTATCAATAAAAAGATAGAAACTAAAGACGTATGACCGGTGTTTACAGTAATCCAGAAATATATACCATGTTGTTTAAAAGCAGGCGTGAAGAGGATGACCACGAATTTGAACATAAAACTACGGTATCGCAACCACAATATACTCACGAAGGTATTGTTTTCTTCGCACATCAGCAGCAACGACACTGTATATTGACCGGCCATCTAATGATGAACTCTTGTATAAAGAGGTTGTTGAACCAAATATAGACGACGTCGATAGTTCATCGATGCGCAGCCAGACTTTACCAGACGATCAAGATGCAGAGGGCTCCCAAGATAAAAATCCTGATGGTGGTTATGGTTGGGCAGTCGTCATAGGTGCTTTCCTTATGGTCGTCACCAGTTACGGCACGAGTACGGCATGGTAATGATTATTCAAGAAAGAAAGGCTGTATTTAATGCTTACAACTTATCTTATACTCATTTGTAGGGGTAAATACTGGAACATCAATCACCCATTATCTTGTGAAACTTTGCTAATTATCAGGTTGACAACAATTTAGGCGTTATGCAGGATTACTATGAAAGAGAAATGTTTGGCGACACGATACCCGATGCTCAACTTCAACTCAGTTTTGTCGGTACATTTGCATTGATCTTTGCAAATGCATGCGGTCCTTTGGCTCAAGTTCTTCGTTCCATGTGGGGCACACGATTTGTCTTGGTATAACGTTACATTTCAGTTATATCAACTGGAAAAGTCTATATCCCATGCCGTCTAACAAGTCGTTTTTATATTTGCAATACATAGTTGATTGGCACTTTTCTGATCGCTATCGGATTAATTATTGCCGGTTTCTCGAATCAGGTAAATAGCAGTAATAACGATATTGTCGACGCTATGTCGATGTGCTAATAATTTTGCATAAAAACAGATATGGCATCTTTATCTTACACAGGGCATTCTGTTCGGTACTGGTGTGTCGCTCATGTATGTGGTAAGTAGACAATACTTCAGCACGACAACTTCGATTATGCTGGTATTGATTTGTATGCATTAGACCATTATGGCCGTAGCACCTCAATACTTTGATCGAAAGCGAGGTTTAGCACTGGGAATTGTTGCAAGCGGATCTGGCATTGGTGGTCTTGTTATGCCATTTATCATGACGCCTCTGAACCGTAGTTTGGGCGCTGGATGGTAAGTTATATAAAATGCGCCGTTACCGTTCCGATTGTCATGAGCGTTTTCTATGGATTACATTGTTCATGCTGCTGTTTTACTTGAAAACTTTAGGACGTATCGTGTCGTTGGCTTCGTTTGCTTAGGTTGTGACCTCTTGGCATGTCTACTGGTCAAGGACAGATTTAAACTTCCCAAGCAACGCAAGAGTTTAAGCGAAATTATCCGCCTTGATGTCTTTAAAGATAAAAATTTCTGCATTTGGTCTCTTGGAGCATGTGTGCAAATGCTCGGCTACTATATTCCATACTTTTTCCTCCCATGTAAGTAAATATAGAATGGATCCTTTATGTGTGTATAAGATTAAACAACTAGATTGATACATTCATTGTATAGCTTACGCTACTTGGGTCGGATTGTCACCTTCCGAAGGCTCGTCGCTGGTAGCTGTCAGTTCTGCAGTTAACTTTGCTGGTCGTATAGTGGCTGGGTAAGTTCAAGACCTTCCAACTGGCTTTGCATAGTAGCTGTAGTAGCAGCACTAGTAAGAGTATATCTCAACTAATGTTTTATCAATCTTTATCATTCTACTACACATACAGCATCCTTGCTGACCGATTTGGTCTCGTCAATATCAATAGCTTGTTCTTGATGATCAGTGGATTGAGTACGCTGCTGATCTGGACATTTGCTTATGATTTTGGTACTCTTATGGCATTTTCTGTCATTTTTGGATTCTTTTGTGGATCCTATTTTTCTCTAGGCAAGTACATAGTTGCTCCCGCTTTACTTCCTTTCTACCTTGTTGAACTCCAGCCAGCTAACGCAAGAGCAATACTACGCATATCAGTGTCCCCTATCACTTTAAATATCCTTGGCATGGAGCGCTTCCCTAGCGGCTTATCCTTGGTGCTGATTACCAACATCATTAGTGTTTTTGGTCCCAACATTTCCTCTGCAATTGACGGTTCCGCCGGTGCCGAGCCATTCTTTGCGCATAAGATGTTTGCTGGTGTTGCATTCATTCTAGGCTCTTTAATCATGCTATGGCTCAAGTTCAGCATGAATCGCAAGCTCTTTGCCAAAGTTTGAAAGAAGGCAAGTACGGTATATATTGTCCGGTCATCATTTAACGTTCCTGTTGAAACGCGAGAAGAGGCGGCAAACAGCTTGTACTTCTTTTCTCTAAAATATATCACACATGAAAAAGCCATTCGTGCATAGTTCAGCAGAAAACATCAACACACCATCATGCTATACGTGTATATTCTCTCATCCTATGACTTACTGATTTAACAATAAATTATTGCTTAGCACGACATATAGTTAATAGACACAATCGCCTTAAAAAGCTTCGTTACATAGCTAAAATAAAGAGGTATGTACAGTACATTTAATTATACCAATGTATCCTTAAACACTGAAGATTAGTATTAATAATGTATCTCGCAAAAGTTTAAATGACACGAAAAATACTAAGGATGTGAAAATTATGTATTCAAAACAGAGAAACATATTTTTTGCATATCAATATGGTAAAGCACTTTTGCTTACAAGTTCCAAGCATCTATTCGAGGCGGACAGTAGCCGTATGAATCCAAGTAGAAATTTCTTCATGTCTAATGACAGTGCAGAGTGAATTAAGGGGTATGCTACGATTAAGGTAAGTACACTGCTACCATTGCAATCTCTTTGAGCAGCTGTTTTGTACACCCTCTCCTCGTGCATGGTGTTATATCTTATGAACAGCTGGCTCAGGGCACACCATTCATGCGGGATTGAAAAATCGCGTCTCACAGTTAGCTGGCTGATTATTCATTCGAGTGACAATGCTGTGGTGATTCCACACGCTTGTTGGTGCGTTTGGCTAATTTAAGACGCCAGTTGGGTACTACAGTGCTCATTGATTATTGCTGATAATCAGTAAGATCGCTTTGGAGGTTTGCTTGTGCTTTGTCGGACCTCTTTTTTAAATTTGTGAGCTCTTGGTGACATGTTTGAGTGCTTGTATCGCCTCTTGTTAACTTCAGATAAAGAACTTGAAGAAACGCTGACGTAGATATACACTGTTTACTTATTGACTGAAGCGGCCATTCGTCGACTGTTGTGCTGCATTGTAAGTTTTTGGGAAAAAACGCTTGACGCGTAAAAAGTGCAACTACACTCTGGCTACATAATCCCGAAGCATAATTGAAGATCGTTAATGAAATGCAATGGAAAGTAATTCAACTTTTATTTTTCTTCAAAGATAGTAACTAGAGAGCGATGATGATACACTTTTTACATGTCATTTCTTGCCACTCCTTATCATCACGAATGTGTTCAAACACGTTTGGTCGATACAGGCCAGCTGAAGATATTATAACGACTAGTAAAAATAATCAGGTGAAAAATATGCGCTGTGGAGGTTTCCAGCAAAGAGTTGGTGGCAACAAAAATGTGTTCACCTTGACGCAAATTTAGCATTGTTGTTGGATTTGTAAGGTAAGCTTTCTGTAATGTCTACATATGGGCCCTCAATTGCTTCATCTATAGCGACTGCTATGTTATCAATTGGAGAGCACGGTCAAAGAAGACACAGATCAAGCTTCCGGCATCACATAGTGTATCGTGACATTATAGTCATCGTTTCTTAAGCACATGATCCTTTTCCTCATCAAAATCACTTTTGAGCATTGACATAATCAATAGCTACGATACAATAGGGTATGAGATATAAGAGATGATGTACTTGTTCAGGCAAAGCTTGTAAGATTTGCAGGCTATTAATACGTAGAGCATGAGGATAGGAGAAGTGGATGTAGAGAAGTCTTATCTGATGCTGGTGCCAAAATTATTCAAGGCCGGTTCAGCCAGCGCGACCGCAAAAGCATTATTTGATTGGCTGCGAATTCCGTGATTTCTCTCTCTTCACTCACACACTCATTATCTATCTTAAAGACCTTCCCGCTTCTCAATAACTAAATGCAACAGCAGCCGCTGACTCGACCACACATCGATTCAGCAAAACCTCTGTACGGCATGCCGCCACCACCACCTTCAGGCCAACTGCAGGGCGTACCACAGCCACGTCCTGTCAATCCTACAGCTGGCCCGTTTTCCTCTACTAACCAACAAAGTGGGTCCGCGATGCCGCCGAGAACGCCAATGCCAACACAGCAACATCAATCTGGCATGCGACCTTTTCCTCCAGGCGTACGACCACCGTCACAGCCCAACATGTCATATCCAGGACCATTGCCGTCACAAAACACGAATGCAGGCCATCCACCGCAACCACCGCCGGTACAAGCAGGTACGTGTATATCTATATTTGTGCAACTGTGCACTCGCGCAGTTGAAGCAAAGCTTCGTGATAGGACTATGTCAGTGTAAAAGTGGATTTCAACTAGTCGCTTACCATTCAGCAGCAATGACTCCGCCATCACTTCCACCAACTTCTCCGAATGATGGTCTGTCTTCTCCAATGGCCAACATGAACTTACAGGTGCGTTGTTACCGTACGACAAGGAAGGAGAAGTGGGAAAAGAAGGATGTTGAAAGGAACTTATTACATGGGATGAGGAGAGTTAACAGTTCTATCGGTTTGGTTCATTTTATCAGGCAAACAACAACAAACCCGGTCGATCTAAGCGCGTTTATGCAACCACGCAACCTACGGCTTCTTATCAGCAACCTGTACAACAACAGCCAAATATTAATCCAGCTTATTCGTCACCACAACAACCACCACTACAGCAGCAGCAGCAACCACCACTACCTCAACAACCACAGCAGCAACAATACCAACAGCCACAGCCTCAACCTGTGGCAAATTATCCTTATGTTCAACAACAACAACAGCAACCATCCAAACCAAAACCGAGAATCGATCCGAATCAGATCCCTTCACCGGTTCAATTACGTTTAACAGATGAACAGACATACCAACAAGAGTATTACGGTACCATGTCTCAATCACAGTTGCCTTTACCAACAACAAATTTCCGAACAATCGATCAGGGCAATTGTAATCCACGGTTTATGCGAAGTACTGTCAAGGAGATGCCAAAGACGTCAGACCTGATCCGAGATTCGCACCTTCCATTTGGACTGACTGTGCAACCACTCGTTGACTTACATCCAGACGATGAATCGATACACGTGGCAGCAACCACGAATGCGGATGGACCTGTGAGATGCACGAGGTGTAAAGGTTACATTAACCCTGCATGTCAGTTTACGGATGGTGGACGAAAATTTATTTGTAACTTATGTGAATTCACCAATGATGGTAAGTTAGAGAGGGAAAAAGGCAAGGGGTTGGATGGATCATGATACTGGATAAATTGGAGCTTGTCTAAAGTGACTTTGATGAATTCTATGTCAATCCGTGTTTTAGTGCCCGAGGATTATTTCTCTCATTTGGACATGTCAGGCCAACGGATAGATTTGGATCAGCGGCCGGAACTGCAGCGCGGTACGGTAGAATTTGAAGTACCACAGATCTATTGGACGCGTAACCCGGTGCCCCTGCGTGTCTTATTTGCTGTGGATGTCTCTTATAGCGCAGTACATACTGGCGTGCTTGCTGCATTTTGTCAGGTGCTAGCCAAAATCATCTTTTCTGAAGCAGCCTTTCCTGAAGGAACTCAAATGGGCATCATGACGTTTGATACAGCGGTTCATTTTTATAACTTATCGGTAAGTCGCTGGTTATACTGAAATTAAAAGCAGCGGAAAGAAACGTTGGCTGCATAATCAAAGAAGAATAAGGGAAGACAGTAAGATACTAAAAAAGAAGTCTGTTTGCAAAAATAGTCTACATTGGATCAAGCGCAGATGATGGTTGTACCTGACATCAACGATATGTTTTTACCACTATCGAGCGAGTCATTGTTTGTTAACCCGACAGAATCCAGGTATTTCCCTATTAGTCACGCTACGTTACCTACCTTCTCTGCACATAATTGCGCACAATTTGGCTGCTATGATATATAAATATGTATTCTAATGGTAGCTTTTTTTGCTCATATAAATCAGGGATGTGGTTGAAAACTTGCTTAGCAGCTTGCCTACCCTATTCGCAGAAAATCGAGCGCAGACTGCTGTTTTTGGATCTGCGATAAAAGGAGGTTTGATGGGACTGGTAAGTAGGAAGAATAAGAAAGCTTCATATATCAACAAGTGCAATGAGATTTTGATGGGTTGGTCTATATATAGCAAAACACGGGTGGCAAGATCCATGTGTTACAATCAATATTACCAACTATAGGTCCTGGCGCATTGAAGATGCGTGATGACCCCAAATTACATGGAACAGATAAGGAACGACAGCTACTATCTCCACAAGATGCACTGTATACTGCGATGGGTAAAGAGTGTGTCAACGAAGGAGTATGTGTGGATTTATGGGCGTTCCCAACGAATGCCTATGTCGATGTGAGCACACTGGGTAAGCGTCTATTTTTGTTGCTTTAAATATGAAAGGGCGGATGTCACTGTATATGATGTGGGATGTATGTGTATGAATATCGAAATTAAAAAACTAACTTTTCTCCCTTATTCTTATCTAATAGGTGTACTACCTGCATTGACAGGAGGTGACACACACTATTTTTGGAACTTTAACGTACAGCGCCACCTGCAAGCATTCAGCAATCAATTGGAGCGTAGTTTGACGCGAGAACAAGGCTATAATGCTGCATTGCGCATCCGTTGCTCAAATGGTAATATTTGCAGAGCAAGCTTTTTTTATTCTTTATCTGTGCTCTGGAAAAGGGAGGATAGAACAGAAGGCGTATATGTGTATGTAAAAAAAGGACCTCCGTTTTAGTTAATTTTTCGATGTCACAACAATGTTATTAGGACTTACTGTGGATGACCAATTTGGCAACTTCTTTATGAACAACAACACGGATGTTGAATTTGCGGGCATTGATGCTGACAAGGCTGTTGCTTTTACGTTTCGACATGATGGAAAGTTGGAAGATGGAGAAGCGCACGTTCAGTGTGCATTGCTCTACACGACCAGGCTGGGCCAACGACGTGTACGAATTCATAACCTTCGTCTCCAAGTGACATCCAATATTAGTGTTTTGTTTAAACAAGCAGATCTCGATACCAGTATGAACCTATTATCAAAGCAAGGTAAAAAAAACTACCGCTACTATTATTGGACAAAAACGTGTTATCGTTTGGAATACATTTGGTGTATTAATAAGTGGTACAATTCAATAGTAATATCTCAGGCAGCGAAAAAGCTACCACAAGATCTAATGGCCGAGTTAGACGGTGAATGTGTTCGTATTTTGGCAGCTTATCGCAAGCACTGCGCATCATCAGCATCGGCTGGACAGCTTATTCTCCCTGAATCCTTCAAAGCTCTTCCTGTTTATACTCTCGGTTTAAAAAAGTGTGCTGCGCTTCGTAAAGGTATGTTGGAGAAACGAAAAAATGGGTATTTGATGTTATAAATATTTATTAAAGGGTACCACCAACAGATGCCAACCTTAACATTGACTTCCGAGTATACACCATGCGTAAACTTAAATCAGTTGGCGTTACCGCTACTGTCCGATGGCTATATCCACGCATGATTCCTGTTCATACCTATTTATGGAATGTAATGTGTCGCTCTTAATATTAGTTGCTACTTGTCTCTTTGTCTATTGACGAAATTTGCATATATCATTTTTAGGAGGAGAATTCAAGTATACCACAACAGAGATTGTCCTGCGATCGCCTCGATTCTAATGGCGTATATCTCGTTGGTAAAGTATTCCCTCATCCAATAAACATGTTCTCCCAAATATTGTTGTATTTACTAACGACTCAACTCTGTATTGTTTATATATAGAGGCACCCGATATCACTTATTTATGGATAGGTCAAGATGTTGCCAGTGCCAGCAGTGAGCTCTTACAAAATCTATTTGGTGTTTCAGATCCTGGACAAGTTGACCCTGAAATGCAGCAGGTGCCAACACTGGATAATCCAATGTCTCGCAGATTGCATCAGCTCCTCGCTGGTCATCCTATGAATCCAGTGAAAATCGTGCGACAAGGATTGGATAATGTATATGAATTTGGAAGTAGCTTGGTGGAAGACGATACATTCAATCAGATGAGCTATGTTGACTATCTCTGTATGATACATAAGCAAATTCAAAACGAGGCAAGTGTAGTCTTTTTTTTCTTCTTTTAGCAAGCAGCTGCAGATAATTGCGTTAGGTACCAAGTGTAGGCTAATGAATAATTATGATTATGATACTATCCCTCAATAGATCGAGAGGGATAAGCATGATCAGCTAGTATCATCGGCGTCTTACTGGGCATATAGATATTAGCAGTAGTTTGTTTGATGTAGGAAAAAATACAAGTAATAATTTAAACTATATAGTGCCTCCGTCGCACTGTGTAACCGAGTTCAGGCACACACACACACACACCGACCGATTGACGGGGTTTTGGATATTATTGAGGAACCGTCTTTCCCGTCCTTTCTGTGTTTTTTTTTCTTTCTTATACAGAGACATATTCGACAAACGTTCAACAAACTCATGAGGCTTTGCGACATGTTCGATCAAAACAGTGCTTTCGGAGGTCAACAACAACAACCACAACAGCAACCTACTGTACGGTTTACCGAAAATGGTGAGCGACAACAATCGGAAAATCAGCCCCTACTCCTTGTCTATAGAATTTGAAATATTTTTTAAAAAAATAATATACTCATAATGGGTTCATGAACCGCAGCATCGAGTTATTTAGGCGGATCACCACTCGGTCTTAACACTGACCTGAATTTGGAGGTATCAAACCCAAATTCCTGCTTTTTTTTCTCTTTTCAGAACCCAAAAAAAAGCTGATCTATGAGAATGGGTGGTGGTGTCTTTCTCTTTCTTGAATAGCAAATACTTTTGGAGTTGGATCGGCTTATTCGAACATCGGGGATTACCTCATGTGCATTATTACCGCCGAACCACGATATCTGTCTACGAATGCGGCAGATTCCACTCATTATTTCCCAGAGCGTAACGCCCATGCAGACCTTGTTGACGTTTGTCGAAAAAGTGGTGTATATGTTGTACAAGAGCAATTCGACGTTTGCCTTCGAGGCATACACTGGATTTCTGCAATCGTTATTTGAGCTATCACGTGAAGTTGAAAAAGAAACAATGACTTGGATAGTGTATTCAAACGACGAGGTAACAAATCAGGGAAAAGAACAAGAGAGAGCATTGGGATGATATTTTCTTCTTCTAACTGTTGTTGACAGCGCAAATATAACGCACCTGTCATTGCGATGCTCATGCGACACGAAATGATACCCCTGGAGGATTATGACGTACTATTAGCGAAAGCTATCAAGAATCCTCCACATCAAGTCGAATATGCCGTCGAATTGCTGAATATATGCCTACTGTCGTCAACGCCAGTAACTTCTCTAGAGGATCATGCGCTGACCATTGTTGCACTGCGTGAATTACAGGAATCAGGCGAAGCACCATCGAGGTATTATGTAGCTAGCATTCCTCATGGCATGTAGTGGAAATACCAAGAAAAATGAAATTGAAGCTGACATCGTTTGCGACTCTCATAGTGTCACTGTATTACTGGAAGAAATCGGACTAAGGGCAAAGCGGCCTTATGAAGCGACAGAAAAGCCTGATCTGGATTGTTTGGCGTTACGGATGCTTTTGGCCGAGTGGACAAGATTATGTCAACATTCCATGACGAGTCAACGACTGTATCGTCATTTTGCAAAGAAGGTACAAACAGGGATATTTCGACGAAGCAAACAAAAAAAAAGAAGAGTAATTTTTTTGTCGTCACTGATTCAATTTAACGGTAACATAAAATAGGTGCTGACAATGACAAAAGACAAGAATGGGCAAGGCTTCTTCTTTCGATTATGCATCGAAACATGCGTCGATCGTTTCCTGTCATTCAAATCACTTAGCGCATCTTTCCAAAATCGGACAATGCAGCTAATTGACGCCTACGCCAAATTGGTGGCGTACATGGTGCGTGTCCAACAACAACAAGACCTTTACGATTATCACGGAAGAGAAGATAGGGATGCAGGCAAAATAGCAATTGCAGCTCGTGCATTTTCGGTGGTTATTCTTGTGCTCGCTCAACATCACGAAACCCGTGGTGTGCACTTTAACCAAAAGGCATTTTTGCGGATATTCGCGTCGCTCTATACCGAATTGAACAAGATCAAATCTGCACCGGTCCATGCGGGTGTCTTGAGAGCTTATAGTGACACACTCTACACATTGAGACCATCAAGCTTTCCCGGATTTGCATTCTCGTGGCTCCAATTGATTTCACATCGCACGTTTATGCCGCAATTACTCGCTGCTGGTGCTGCTGGCAAACCTGATCGACAAAAGGGATGGATGATATGTCAAAAGCTACTGTTGGAATTGCTAAAGTTCCTTGGCCCTTTATTGGATCGTCGCGTGCTTCAAAAGGCTACCCGACAATTCTATCGGGGGACGCTCCGGTTCCTGGTCGTACTGCTGCATGATTTTCCCGAGTTCTTGAGCGAGCATTACATGGTGTTTGTCCAGGTGATTCCGCATTCGTGCATACAGCTTCGAAACCTGGTGCTGAGTGCATTCCCGCGTATCATGCACCTACCGGATCCGTTTAACCCCGAATTGCCCGTGGATGATGATGACGACCAGTTGCCCGAGTTTAAGCAGGATCCGGTCCTGGTCACAAGCTATACCAAAGTGTTGAGCGATGAATTCCGTGGTGCCATCGATGATTTCGTCCAGATACAACATGAATCGTTCCATATCATGGCCTTGCAGTATATGATGGATGACGGTGTATATCGACCAGATGTTCTGGGTGCATTTGTATTATATGTAGGGTCCAAAACAGCAGCAAGCGATACTCCCATTGAAGAACATCCTGCCATGATTGCATATAAGCGGTTATTAGCTGAAATGTCATCGGAAGGTAACGTATTTTGGAACAAAATGAGGGAGAGCAGTGCTTTAAATGTTTCACTAACTAGGTATTGCGGTATAGGTCGATATATTATGCTCAATGCCGCTGCTGATCACTTGCGATATCCAAATAGCCACACCTCTTTCTTTAGCAAAGCATTGTTACATTTGTTTGCTACACAGCCCGAGGAATTGAAGGAACAGATCACTAGGTAACAAAAAGAGTCTTTGTCTTAACCAATAAGTTGTGTGCAAGCTTCAACATGGCTGACGTTGCTGTGTGTGGTTAATTGATAGGGTGCTGCTGGAAAGATTAATAGTAAATCGACCGCATCCATGGGGTCTTTTAGCTACTTTTATCGGCTTGATAAAGAGCCCTGGCTTTTGGGATCATGAGTTTATCCGATGTGCTCCAGATATCGAGCGCTTATTCGACAATGTCTCAAGGTACCCTTTTATCATCGTCATAGAAGGTGGAATCCTTTCGTTAATAATACTAAAACAACCTGTTTTCTCTTTGTTAGATACATCAAACGCACCGCCTAATATCGAATTCCATCTTCCAACTATAATCCCTCCACTTTCGCTTACTTCCTTTTCCCTCTATATTATCTGTATCTTTAATAGAAACAAAAAATACTCTTCGCTCTATATGTACATACATGAAAATATAATGTTTTCCCCCCTCCTCTTTTATACTGCCTCCTTATCCCCTCTTCCGCACACATACATTTCTTTTTGTATGACACGAAACACATGCACTCTTTGATGTTTTTTCCAGTGTGTGATTTACAAACTTGTACCATTGGGCTTTTTGTTGTTTAATACTCGAAGGCTTTCTCGGTGGAGGGAGAGAGAATGTGTTCAAAACATGAGGGGGAAAAAACTGTATACAATAGGGAAAGGAGTATGCTTATTCACCAAAGAGTCGACGGACGCGTTTCAAGACACTATCCTTTTCAGGATCTATAATGTATGCGAAAAGAGGAAATTGAGTTCTTTCGCCCTTGTAATTTTTTTGCTCCGTGCCTGTTTCATGTTGGAAAAAGAGGGGTTTACGATACGTTACCGTAAGGATGGTCTTTGGAGGGTATCTCTAGCACCGTAGGGAATGCTGCTTGATGGCTATCAATAAGCTCGCGAATATCCTCGGCGATCTATTCAAAATATGAGTCTTCCTATTCGTCCAGTTTTCTTTCGTTCATTCTTCTGTCTTGTCGTGGAGGCTAAAGTTTTGTTTGAAAGAAAAAAAGGACGCATACGTGTTGGTTGATCAGGATGATGGCAATATCCTTTCGTCGCGTGAATTCCGTGAATGTTTCTTCAATGCTGGCCAATGGTGTTTCTAAACAAATAGAGTTTGTTAAAACGTTCATTTGAGCACATCTTACTGTTTGGCTTAAGAAATGTATAAAGAGAGCGACTTACTGGCATCGACGACAAGAAAGTTTCGCTTCTGTTGCTGATTGACGTGGCCGATACCTGCAAGCAAAAGGCCAGTGACAGAGTCCTAATGGAAAGGCAAATTAGTTCACTAGGCAGTTTAAAGGTACAAGTAATATAATGAGCGCATATAGTTTTAAGAGTACCTCGTCGCCAATGACGGCAAGGAAATTACGGTCTTTGTTGGTAGACGTTCCACCCGACATGTTGGTATCTGTTGAAAAGAGAGTAGCAGTAGTGGGGTGTTTCAAGAGCACTCACCATGGGGCGTCATGCGGCGTTTCAAAGTCATGCTTGGATGCCGCCGCCGAAAAAGAGGAGAAAGGGATGCACACATGGCAATTGGCGTCGGTTGCTTGTGGTTGTAGTGTAGCCATTTTTGAATAATGAGAGATTTGCTAACTCTTTGTATGCTCCTCTATGGATATGCTCTTCGAAAGCATGGAAACATATAGTCCTGTTACGAACCAAAAAGTTCATGATAGCTAACTAAGCTTTGTATGAAGGTCCGCTCGCTTTTTGGACAGGTGTAGCCGTCTATTGGTTTTTTTATGCAGCAAGCTCACTGCATATATATGTAGTAACGAGACCAAAGGACAGCACTACTGAACCTCATAAACAAATGGATATAGAGAGAGAGACACGAGCAAAATCCAACCAAACAGCCCAGAAAATACTAATGTATATAGACGGAAATAAGGGGGATAGCGTAGGGTCATGACGGGTATCAAGGTATTAGTAGGGACAAAAGTAGAGGACAATACAAACTAGAGACCAAAACTAAAACGGGAAACGAAACTAAATTAAGACAAAATACCAGGAGCCTACGGCCCCCTCGCCATAACATTTAAAACAAAACCCATCTTCGGGGCAAACGAGACGTGAGACACAGAGGAAAAAAGTGCACCTTAGTTTATTCTTGGAGTGGAGTGTGCTCTACATATGAATCGTGTGGGACACATGTTACGCACACTGGGTGGCCGTCCCATTAATTTAAAATTATTATATATGTTTATGATAGTTAGATGTTTCGATATCGTGTAATGTAATTACTACATTATCACTATATGTTATTTGAGTTTCGTTTATTGTATTGAGGCCTATAATGAATCCTAGGTGATATGCGCGAGATTATTCTTCTTTCCTCCCTTCTCTTCGAAGGTCTCCATGGGACTCGTGTTGTTGAGGTCGTGCATTCTTCTCGCAACGTTTGGCATATAATCGGTTGAAAAGCATATTAAAGTGGCAGTTGAGAGTTGTGCTGAGCTCTGAGTCTACTATAGCTCAAACCATGGTTCAGGACTCGGCTCACGGCTGTTGAATGGGTATGCGTACCTGCGGTAAAATGATACTAAACCCAATTCAATAACCTCATCTAGAATGTCCTTCGCCTCATCCTTGGAACCAGACTGCAATGTCGATATTCTACGTTATGCTTTTGTAATTGTTTTCGTGCAAACGAGCAAAAAGTCGTCTACATTTGATGTGTTCTACCTGTATCTTTTATTATTGGCTGCTCTAATTCTACTTATTTGAGTCAATTGGCACATATTCCTTGTGATTCGGTCGAGTTATCAAATTATTGTTTTTATTATATGAGTAAGGGTGAGCAGCAGTTATCGATTTTGGCGTGTGAAAAAAAATTATCAGGGCGATAAGTGAGTGAAGCAATGGTTGCTCGTGTTTGATGGTGCTGCTGGAAGCGAAGAATCATTGTGTCGCCCATGGTTTACAGTTTTTTTTTGCTTAGAGCAAAAAGCGTATTGTGCAGGATGGCTTGACAAGATCATGTCGTCTTCTTCTTATATCTCGAGCTTGGCAATTGTGAAAAAGACGGGCGTCTTGGAAAACCTCCTGGATGGCCCACTTATGTACTGTAGCCAATTATTCGTAAATAGAAATTTCGACTGGCGGCATGCTGCACTTCCACTACCACTGCCGGTAACTCCTCGCTCGTGGGGTGATAAACTACGTCCGAGCGATATACCACGAGTTCACCATTGCGATAGGCCTAGTTTGTACATTGTAGTGCCAATAAGGTCTGACAAGCTAAATCGTTTTTCCCTAACCACATAAACATTAGAGGGTAAAGAAACACAACGTTTATGAACTTGGTAAAACTTGCTCCGATCTGTTGCCGCTGTTTTTCGAGATGCAATTAACACACCTCACCATCATGCTATAATGCTCTTGACATATCAAACAGAAAACAGAAGGATTGATAGCAACAGGATAAAAACTATATTCACGAATTCCACAGTATCAGTGGGCGATGTATATCATGCGCTCTACGTGATCGGTAACTCCGCGGCAGCACCTTCAAAAGCAATATGTAATTCTCGTAGTATCATAGACCATGAATGCACCAAAGATGAGCGACAGTAGATCTCCCGCATAGTTAATTTAACATGGTAAATTTCAGTGTAAGCATCTATACTGTATGAAATCGCTCACATGTTGTAGTTGTTTTACATTATTTGTTATGCTATGCTCGAGGAAAATTACATCACATATCTTCAGCACCCGCCTAAAGCCAAACTTCCTGTAACGCATATCTATGATCCGCTGCTCTAGCATTAGACCACTTTGTTCCGTTATATCTACGAGTTGCAATGATGATATAGTAATAACAACAGCGAAGGTACTTTTAAGTCGCTATTTAAGTGGCTAGAGTTGAATCATTTTTTGGTGCTGAAATCTTCGACCTTCAAATATAATTAGCTGGTTTTTCCAGCAGCTTTAAGCCCGTCTTATCCTTGTACGCGAGCACACAATGTCAAGCGTTCGAAAGAAGCAAGAGTACTATGACAATGTCTACTACGACACTGACGATGAAGACGATCAACGTAAAGCACGATTCAGTTTCCTTTGACGGGACGATTTGTGATCGAGTATATAAACTGATCGTGGTTTCTTCTCAATAGCCAAAGAGGTGCCCACAAATGACGATCTATTGTATGATCCGCAAATGGATGATCGGGACGAAACATGGGTGATCAATCAAATACAGAGTAAGCAGATATACTCTTGTACGTAGGCATAAGCTGTAAAAGTAACTTTTTCCACTTTTTCTGTCTGTCTCTTGTGTAATGGTAGAGGCAGCACCACCCGGTAAAAAACGTAAAGAAGCGCATACAGACGCAATTCTCACATGTCCATTATGCTTTACGCCTCTGTGCTACAACTGTCAACGGTAAATTTGAAATCTCTTGGCATTCGCATTATTTAATTACGAGCGTACGTACTTGACCAAATGGATGATTGGGTTAGACACGAGAAATATCCCAACCAATATAGAGCCATGTTTGTCACCAATTGCCGTGTCGTGAAATCAGAGCGGTATCGATACGATGACCATCGAGGGAAGCAGGAAAAGAAGGGGAAGAAGGAGGATGCAGATGATCAAGGGCAAGATGAAGGATATTACGTAGTAAAGTGCGGCACGTGTGACACACACGTTGCCATGATGGACGAGGATGAAGTTTACCATTTTTTCAATACCATAGCAACATAGCTTAGAGACAAGGGTAATGTACCTATTTACTGCTGCTTATTATTTCCTCGGGGTGGTGAAGATGAACCCCCTTGCTAGTAATAACTTTGTATAATAATGGAGATTGGAGAGGTTGGTCTTGTCACTACTACTGTTGCATCCAACAAGCAAATTACTGCCGCCTGTGGCTGAAGCATAACGAGATGACGGTACACCATCAGTGATATGCGCGCGCCTTGACCATGCGCCTGGTTTTTTAAAGAGTGCACATAATGCTGAGTTGAGCGGGTCCAAACTAACCCCCATGAAAAGCGCTGCGAGGAAGAGCATGATAACGTGTGTGCGTGATTATATCTTGCGTAAAAACACGGGCCGCGGCGGGGTTTGATGGTAATACACAACTTTCTGAATTCCCTTCTTGGCTTTTTCCTTTACTTCCTTTTTTCCTCCTCCCTTCTTCCCTCTTGGCTTACAACAAAAAAACAACAGCAACCTCATGAGTTGGAAGGTAATATCACGATTTTGCTGTACGATTATCACCACGCCGAATGGATTCAACTAAAAAAAATGCGAGCCGTCAATTAGGGTTTTCAAAAGGCCGTGAACCGGCTTCCTCACCAGATATTATCGAAAAAGTCAGAAGGTAACGCTGTAACAACAAGCGTTGGAAGGAGGATTATTACTGTCTGCAATTGGTAATTAAATTCCATCATTCGATACAACAGCGACGAGAGACCAGGATTTTATGTCCTTGGAGAAACGGTTCAACGACTTGCAGAAAGTGGTCGAGCGGTTCGAGAAGGATGCAGGAGCGTTTCGTGACTCTATCTCGGGTATGAGCTTTGCTGGAAATTTTTCCCTTGGGTTACCACTTGCTGCTGCTGCTGCTGACAACAAATGCTGACATTTTTCTGTACCATTTTCCTGTGTGTATGTGTGCTACATGACTACTACCACGTGTTTTCTTTTGAATGTGGTTAATAGCTCTCTTGTCGCATCAGGCATCCATGGCGGCATTCCTGACAGTGATCTACGATACTCACCTGGGCGTGCAGGCAACAGAACAAGGCGGAGTTCAACGTCGGTTCCAACAAACTCCGGCTGCTGCCACTCAAGCAGCCAATGATGCTGAGGCGGCAATGGCGTATTGCCGAGATGAAGTATTACCGGAACTGGTAAGCTAAGGGTCAAGCAGAGGCGAGACGGGTGGATATGTGTGTGTGTGTGTGTACTAATAAATATGTTGAAACATACTAGGATGCACTTGACCGTGACGTTGTACGACCCATGATTGAACTGCGTGAAATCATAAAGACGATCAATAAAACTATGGTGAAGCGTAACCACAAGCTGATCGACTACGACCGTCACCGTTCAGCCTTGAACAAATTGAAAGTAAAGGAGGAGCGAAGCTTTAATGAGGAAAAGCAGATCTTTAAGGTGAGAGGATGAATAACAACAAATGTACACAATCATGGCTAGTGTGGTATTGAAAAGTATGGGCCTCTAGGTCGAAACACAATTTGAAACGGCTACCCAAGACTACGAGTACCTTAACGACATGCTCAAGCAAGAGCTGCCGCGATTCTTCCACATGAAGGCCCAATTCATTGAGCCAGTGTTCGAAAATTTCTATTATTTGCAGTGCAAGATCTACGGCATGATTTATGCACGCTGCTATGAGCTTATCAATTCCAACACACAGCACTTTACCACGCACGAAATGTCGGTTGTGGATGGTTTCGAGTGGCGTCGATCACAGCGCGATATGCGTGCCGAGGTCGAGAATCTGGATCTGCTGAAATCAGGTGGCAAAGCTTGGCTAAGTGCGTCTGGCGGCAGCAACAATTCCAAACTGTCACTCAAAGAGCGTGCTGCGATGCGACAGCAAGAGCAGCAGCAATATAACAATGACGGCGATGGATATGCATCATCGTCTGCTCCACCGCCAGCCTACGGCGCTGCTGGCGGCACCACCATTGATGCCACACCCATGGCGTATGGTAGCAAAGAGAACACTTCGTACTCCTCTCCGTCCTACGCTAATACTAACAACAATAACACTTATCACCAACGGTCGACGTCTCGTTCAGGCCCATCTCCTCCCCCGCCGCCACCTATTGCAAACAAAGCAAGCGCGTACGTCGTGGCACTGTATGATTATGATGCACAGGCAGACGGCGACTTGAGCTTCCGGAAAGACGACAAGATTGAGCTGATAGAGCGGACGGCGGATGAGAACGACTGGTGGACTGGACGACTGCGTGGTGTTACTGGCATCTTCCCTGGTAAGTCAGCTTGTCGAGCGTTTCTTTAGCACACACGAAGGGGTATGCTAAGTCTTTCCTTTTAATCTAGGCAATTACGTTTCTGACATGTAAAAACAAACAAACAATCACCTTTTCCCTTCCTTCCTTCGTTCCTTAATCTTCTTCGACAGACCGAAACGACCAAACGCAATCGACTGACCCACCCCACCCCATTGTTAGTCCTTCTCTTCTTCCTTTTCCATATTGCTTGATTTCGCTCTCCATGAATGTTGTGCGTGTACAGTTTCTCTTTCTATATTTCTACTTTTAAAGCATTTTCCCCAAATAATATTAATATGCACGTCAAAAAAGAAAAAGAGAGACGATGTCGACATCGTACATGCAGCTTTTTTAAGTTTACCCCCAGCCCCTATCATGCTTTCCACTCAAGCAGGCAACTCGATAATGCAGCAAACAACTCTGGTCAGACGGTGTGACACTGTTGCAATCATACGCCTAGGTCATCTGCTTTTTCTTCTTCTTCTATAACACCGTTGCTTTTTAACTTCACTTACGCCCACACCGCGCACACGAGAAAGGCTCTGCATGCTGATATACTGAGAGGAGCGCAGTTACTAAAAAAGCAAAATGATTGTTTTTTCCATAGTAATAATAATGATAATAGATAGGTGTATGGATAGACAAAGCACACAAGAGAGAAAAACAGAGCTGGTTTGGAAAGAAAGCAGTTAGACAGGAGGGATATGTTCGTTGGGTTATATTTAATACGGATTCCGCCCACGTTCAAGAAGGAGACGTCAGGACATAGTGGACAAAGCGGGCCAAGTCCATGGGCGAGCAGCAGCGCAACAGCTTGCTCTGGACATGAGCGTCGATCTCCCTCAGCACGTCTCTGGCCGAGGGTCGAGTGTCTGGCTGGAAATCGAGCAGCCAAGCAACCAAGCCTCGCATGTACATGGTTGGGTAGCTGTAGACGAACGCCGGGCTTGGCTCAGATAGGATGGCAGCAAACAGCTGGAGGTCGTCTCTGACCAAGTAGTGGGGCGGCACGCGATCCATCATTTCAATCAAGGTAATGCCGAGCGACCACATGTCAATTTTCTCCGAGTAGGGCTGCTCACGGATCACCTCGGGCGCCATCCATTTGGACGTTCCAAGACGTTCCCAGTTGTGACGCGAGGTACGAGTTGCCAAGCCAAAATCCGCAAGTTTCACCTGGCCGTTCCAGCCAAGAAGCAAATTTTCGCACTTGATGTCACGATGGATGAAACCTTTGGTGTGCAGGTGGTCCAATGCTTTCAAAACTTCACATGCGATATACACCGCATAGTCTTCGGGCAGTCCGCGCTTGCACAGCACCGCAAACACAGAGCATCGCATCAGGTCCATGGCAATCCAGACGTCGTCTCGCCACAGCGACACCTCGCGCAGTCGGATCAGGTTTGCATGGCCGCTTGCCATGATGCGTAGCTCTCGGATGATTGCTGCACGGTATTCCGTGTCGGGATGCAGACGGCACCGTTTGATGGCTACAACCACGTTGTTTTTGTAACGATGGATGGCGCCGACGACTGAGCCATTGACGCTATAGATTACCAGGGTCAATTATCACCATCATCTGCCGGTGGTGGTATGCTCAATGATAACGATAAACAAGGAATTGAGGACTTACCCAGTGCCAATTTCTTTAAAGCCGCCATACTTGTTATGCGGGTCAAGCGAAGACACCGGAACGTTTGGCAACGCCCTACGCAGTTTGCGCTCAAATTCGTTCGCCGATCGAACCAACGGCGGAAGCTGCGGGATCTCCGGGCTCTTGCCGGCTGGCAACCATGGTCGTTTGGATACGTTCTTTTGCGGATTGTACGGTCGCAGGCTGTACGTCTTGTGCTTGGGCAATCCTTCGTATTTCAGAAAGCAATTGGGGCCAAAGATGTTTGGGATTTCTGACCGTCCAGGTGCTTTCCATTTTTCCTATCATTAAGAAAAGGCTCACGCGACTTTAATGATGGGTGTTGTGTGTGTGGCTACCCCCGCCGCTACTACGAGTGCTGCTGGTCTACACTTTTTATGGTGAGTCTCACCTTGGCGTTGGACGAAACGGCAGTGTCGGTTGATAGCAATGATGGACGGCGTAGGCACCCGGTGGATCGTCGCTTAAGATTGATGTCCAGCGTCAGGAGACCGCCATTGCTTCTACGAGCACATGATTGCCGCCGTCGGTTATCGGCAGTAGTGGATGATTTCGATTTTCGCAAGTTGCCCAGCGATGTCCGTTTACTTCCAGTCAGACCACGCTTTGTTTTTGGTCAATTCAGTTTATTAGGAAAGCAACATTGAAGAAGAAATAGCCGTGACAGTAAATAAGCATAGTGAACTGTATCATCATCATCATCATCCACTCTAACACTACTTTTTGTTGCTGCTACAGTATGTGATCGTGTGCTTAATAGGGGGTGGGTGTTGAAATTTACTTTATGCATGATGTGTTTTCCATGACTGCTGATGGTTGGCACTGCTGTTGCTGCTGTTGCTGTTCCTGTTGTCGTCGTAGTTGTCGTCGTTGTAGTCGTTGTCGTTGTCGCGCCAGTGGTGGCTGAAGAGACGGCAGTAGAGGATGGTTGGTGGTGGTATTGATGGTGCTGTAAATGGCGTAGCATCTTTTGGCCACGCAAGGCAGGGTTTGCCCAGGTTGCGTTGTGGTTAGAGTGGCGTTGTAATAAAAGAGTGCTGTGTGTGTATGAAGAAAGAAAGAGAGGGAGGGAGGGAGACAGGGAGAAGGAGAGGGAAAAAGAAGTGTTTGCACAACAAAAGGCGGGGAAAAAGTGAAGAAAGAGAAAAAGAAGAGCGAGTTTTTTTTAAAACCAATATGCAACTCTCCCTTTTCCCCTTTCACTACGACCGCACGCCCATATCGCTATTTATTGGACACGAACGGCTCTTGGTTTCTATCGTGTCCATGGCTGGTGCTGATGATCAACAAGTGAGCTGTGTGTTTTTTCTTCTTCTATCGTACAAGTGGCGTAAAAACGGAGCTCACGTGTGATCCTTTCGGGTGGGGGGGGTGTAAGTGAGCAGGGCGCTATTTAAAGATCCGGTTGTCTGTGTATTTACACCATGATGGCTACTATACAGCGCATACACGGCCGTCAATCGACAAATACATCGCAGTACATCTGGAAACGACGAAATGTCTTTTCTGCGATTATGCGAGCATGATGAACTAGCCCACTTCCGGAAGAGAAGAGCGAAAACTACATTCATGCACAGCTTGGAAACCATAGCCCATTTTCTTGGCTCATTGTTGGCTGGTGTCGGATGGGTTGGTGGAGCGTGATTAGAGAGAGAGAGAGAGAGAGAGAGAGAGAAAGTTGTGTGTACCTGGCTGGATGGCTGTGACAATGTAAATTCTGACCAGTTGACCTGTAATACCTAATCATCAGCTGTTTCATCTTGATTAAACCGTAACACCGGGTTTCGTAATGCTTCTACTGCTACTTAGCTTTTTGGTAGCTGTTGTGTTGCTGTTACGTGTCCTTCTTACAAACACACTCCCTCTTTTCTTCTCTTCATCGTATATGATGAATACATCATATGCTGTTAATCATCGTAGTTTTCTCTATAATCGCTGTTGTGTACTCCTCGTTTCCTTCTCCTCCCCGTATCTCTTGCTGGCAACAGACTATATATGTACATAAGGGGGAGGGATCATAAAAATCTACGCAACGCGTAAACAAACATGCAACAACCGAATAGAATTACTATAGAAAACATCATATCGCCTTTTTTATCGCCAGGTTGCACTTGGCATGTATATACTGCACAGTCTAATTTGGTAATAATCCTTATATATACTGTATACACACCCACAAACAATATCCTGCTTGTTACGTTTCTATGCAAGCAGCACCTGCATTTCTTCTTCTTGGAGATCAATGGGTTGTTCTTTGCAGTACGATCTATGTGGTGTCCAGTTGTACATAATACACAGCAGTAGTACTACACACACGCGCATACTACCGCAAGAGAGAGAGAGAGAGCAAGTGAGTACTTTGCAGTACGAAGGCGGGAGTAAACCGAGCTTGTCTTTATAAACAGTTGTTGTCTCCCTCCATCAGCAGTCTTCCTCAGCTTGAACCATAATAGAAAAGTACGTGTTTTCTATTTATGCCAAAGAAAAATAACGTCCTTGCCTTTTTTTATCATGACAACAACAACGACAAGACAAGAACGGGCTATTCAACTACATATAAAATGAATACTGTCAAGTCATGCACCCCCCAACCACAACAACACGCCCACATAGACAAACTCTAATTTGGATCTACAACAGCAACTTTATAGTATCCATTGGTAGTATGTAACATTTAAATTGATAATACGGATTAATGGATCAATATACACCCTCCACACTCTACTGCTTAGCATACACACACGCACACGCACACGGGCATTTTACGTTGAAAGAGAATCAAACAAGGACAGCGATATATACATGTCAACGTCTGATACATGTATGATGACAACAGCTTTCTAAACCAGCATATCTCCTTAAACACATTTTATTACGTGCTATGATATCGACGATATAAGTCATAAGATAAGCTTTACAAGTAGAGTAACAGTTACGCTAGTCGTATCAATGATTGTGTCGTCGAAACATCCAGAAATAGGTTCATTCTTTTTCTGCAACACATGCATATTAGCTACAGTAGTATGTACAGTCAACCACTGCTACTATAGTATATCGCTGAAGATTGTTGCCTTTTGTGGCCATGCTTTTTGACCCATTAAATCACCTACGCACACACGTCCTTCCTATTGCTGTACTACTCTACTAATGACGTGATTGCCGCTCAGAGTAGCAGTACAGCACTGACAAAACGTTTTACAAGGATATTCCCCTGTCCATGAATGGAAAGAAGATTTGAAAGAATGATGCACCAAATTGAACAGCATGGCAAAACAAGAAGTATATAATTTTTGCTACTATACTCCTTCCCTTCATGGGCAACCCGCCATATGTATGTACGACTGCTACCTGATACATCATAATGCGTGCGTGATATACACATGTAAGAGAAGAATGGTGCGCCTGGTATCATTTATATACATGTATCATTACTTAGTTTACCCAAAGAGTAGACACCAAATCAAACTATGATATCAACGCATGTGATCAATTTTATCTGTACTGACTTGGTAGTAATAACTACATTATAGTCGCATGCTACAGTAGCATGGGAGACATTGATAGAGCCATGATCAATACTTTTCATTACTATATACCAGGAAGGTCTATTGAAAATTTGTACGACAGCAACCTTCTTTATGGCATGTGCGTAGCATAATGAACAGCGATCTGAAGAAATATTGTTATGACGCGCGCGTAATAACAAACTGCCCGTTCTTTGCGTCTAGCTAATATATTTTTTCCACCAGTCTCTAAATAGAATATGTTAACGGATGTATAGTCGTTGCGACAGCAATAAAAGATTGCGCATATGTTTACGCTACAAAAATATGAATGTTGTTTTTTCTTGTCATACTCTTGTCACACATGCACAAAAGCACTTCTTCCAGGTACACCTGGCAACATGGCAACAAATGATTCTACTGTTGTCTTTGTTTCTGCCATTGATAAAATACTTGAAAAGATAACTTGAAAGTAGAAAAGAGTGTTATTAGCGTTTGTTTCCAGCTAAAATAGAAACTGCAATGTCGACCAATGGATCGAGAAGAAAAGAAAATCAAGCTATACCATTTCCGAGATCTAGGTCCTCCACCCGCGCCCCGCTCGTTCGCCAGCCCGCCACACACAGCCGGTTTTTGGTCCGTCCTTTTCCTCTCTCTAGCTTCCGGTCATAAAAAGAGCTTGCCTTCTTAAATCAAAAATGCTGTCGGATGACGAGTACGATTACCTTTTCAAACTAGTCCTCATTGGCGATTCTGGGGTTGGTAAGTTTATATTTTTTATCACCCTTTCCCACTTGAAGAAGCAATTAATGTTTGGTACCTTTTCTAATCTGAGTTCATGACCCTTCTTTTTTTTGCTGTCTGTGTTCTATGATTAGGCAAATCGAACTTGCTCTCCCGATTCACTGTAAGTGTTATGTTTCTCTCTATCAATGTACCGCCTCATCTCTTTTTTATTTCTGGGCTACAGAGGCGTTAATTCTATCAACGTTGAACCTTTTTTAGACGAATGAATTTAACTTGGAGTCCAAGAGTACTATTGGCGTCGAGTTTGCCACAAAGAACATTGAAATTGGTAAGAAACTCATTCTCTCGCTTGCGGTGCTTGTGTATACACAGGCGGTCACTTGGATTTGACGTATAGGGGGACCAAACGGATACAGCAAAGAAAAAGGGCACCGGATAGCGCTGATGATAACACCGGCATGAAATTCTCATCTTTAGACAAGCACACGATCAAAGCCCAGATCTGGGATACCAGTGGTCAGGAGCGTTATCGAGCCATCACGGGCGCGTAAGTGGCTTCAAAAGTTTGCGGTAGAAAATGGAAAGAGAGGAAGGGGTACGATCGGTATATTTTTTCTTGCATGAGATCACTGATATCGATTATTGAATTACATCAGTTACTATCGTGGTGCCGTCGGTGCTCTTGTTGTGTATGGTAAGTTTAATAGGTTGCATAGCAACCATATAGCAACAGCATAGCAACAGCATAGCTGATCTCCTATTTGACAGATATCACGCGTCAACAATCGTTCCAGAACGTAATGCACTGGCTTAAAGAGTTGCGGGACCACGCAAGCCAAGAGATTGTTATCATGTTGATTGGCAACAAGGTTGATCTGGCAGAAACGAGCAGAGCGGTGACGATTGACGAAGGAGGTGCATTGGCGGAGCAAGAAGGATTTTTGTTTATGGAAACGTCGGCTCTGGATGCCACTAATGTCGATAAGGCGTTTGAAACTGTTTTTGACACAATTTATGCTACTGTGCCCAAGAAGAACAAGGATGCAGAAGGCGAGGATAGCGTGACTGGACCTACTAGCGGTGAACGTATCCAGTTGCGGCCGCCAAGTGTGCGTCGATTGTCGCGTGGTAGCGTCACTGATGAAAAGACCAAGGGACAATCCAGTGGTGGTGGATGTTGTTAGTAGTAAAAAAGAAAAGAGAGAGAACAATACCAAGATAATAAAGGGAAGTAAAAGAAGAATCCACTGCCCTGTAACACACACATACACACACTACCATGGTCCTTACATAGTACGTTTAAAAGATAAAAGAAGACCCTTATATGTTATTATACACACCCTCTTTATATATTTCTTTACTACTTACACTTTTCGTTTGCCTTCTCCTCTTCCCCCCGTTAATTTGTTGTTGTGTGGTATCTCTATTACAATCGTCCGAGCGTGTTAGATATTTTCTTTCAGTTTGCCTCTTCCCAACAACCTAGCCCCACTTTCATTAGCAAAGTGTGCATCTCGGGACTTCGATACTGTATAAAGTTTGAGCGAATGCTTTTCTGATTTACCAAGAGACCAACAAGAGTAGAAGCCATGTTGAATTTGGATCTTGGCTGGAAATAGCATAATCAGGGATATATTTTTACTGTTTTCCCCTCCACTCCCCTTCTCCCGCGCGCCCCTTTTGCTTGCTTTTAAGTATGTGTGTTCAATACACATACAGGTCAAGTGGCCCATCTCTCTTCATTATCAAAAAACAACCGTCATCATTACATAGATGGCATTCTTGCAGATCGTTCCATTTAACAAGACAACAACAAATAATTTAACGCGTCAGAAAAGACGTGTAGACCACGTGACCCCTCATGGGTAATTAGTAGTTAGTGGCCAGTTTCAAAACCTGGCGTACCCATCATCACCACTATTTAATACGAGAGAGTATTGCGCGACAACAACCATGGGATAGCGTATAAACAAAGCCTTGAAATGTAAATAGAAACACACCATTTACGTCAAGATAAACTAGATCAATGTAGCACGTTCTTTTTCCGATCCACGGCAGCAGCAGCAACAACAGAGCCAAAAAGTATCAGATCCAACTTTGACCTCCCTAAAGCTTCTAAAAGCACACTCTGCAACGACCGTTTGGGACAGCTATGGTCGATATATGTAATCACGGGTTTCGCTGCTTGTAATGATCTTAAGCTCTCGCTTGCCCGCTTCACTACTACTCCCCTCTCCTTGTGGAAATGATTTGATTGAGATCAGCTTAAACCCACATTCAGTCCACCCCCTATGCAATAAAGACCTACACTCCACGGTCCCCTTCTTCTTCTTTTCTCATCTGAAGACAGTCTCTTTCACTATCCTTTTCTCTTTCTCTTTCCTTTTGCTTACTTTTATTCTCCATTTTGCAGTACCTCTTCGTTTATCCCCTCTCTTCTTCTGTTTTTGTCCGTGTCGAAAGTAGTCATCATTATTTATCAGTCTATGTTCGATTGAATCCTTCGACGCATCGTAATCCATTGTAACACCACTTGCCCTCTTCCTCCTCCTGATATACACACTACCTATATTTATAATTTGCACTACATCCTAACAAAAAGGTATTGAGAGACTGTTCTATAAATATTCATGACAGAAACATTGTTTCAGTATCTTGTAAATCACCAACTAAAAAACAATTACTCATGCTCGCATCGACAATAAATCACAACGAAAAATCAAACCATCGACATCGCACGCATCGACACTAGCAGCAGCAAGTCCTAATTAATACTACAAGAACAAAAAGCAACTCGTAAACGAAAAAAAAAAAAAGCACAGCAACTCTCAGCAACAACAGACATTCTTCTTCCTTTCTTTCTCCCTCTCGTTTTGTTTTCCAGTAAGAAAAACAACAAACATGGACAGTTTTACAAATAATTTTCATCACAGCACTACCAACAACGGCAACGACCTGACAGATTCATACTACGATGGAGGAGACCGACTGATACGACAGCCATCGCTCGGCCGGTCCCCGCGGCGTCAAACATCGCTGATAAGACCCGAACGAGAACGAGTGAGCCCTGGACATCGACACTATCACACTAAAATGCATGCTGCAGCAATGGAATCGGATCACCTTCATCATCAGAATAGCACCCTGGTGGAACAACCGCCCGCAGCATTGAATCGTTCCAGTCCAACACGACGTTCAGTCTTACGACGAACTTTAATAGCCAAAGAGCACGACGGACGACATTCCCTCGAAAAAGCACAGGACATTGAAGGTCTACACCATAAACAAGGCGTTCGCATACAGCAAGCAGAAGATCCAGCAGCTGGTCGCCAATGTCCGGACATATGGAAGATGTATTGCTATGCCATCACTTGCTGTTTTCCGGCATTTATGCTCAAAGCATTTGGTAAAGTATACGAGAAAACAACTAGAACAATACGATCGTATAGATAGAGAGCCCCTGTGTAGCACATACACGCACCATTCCTAATAACCACTACCATTCCACGACTACCTTCATCTCCCTCTCTCTCTCTCTCCGCTTGAGCAAATTCCCCCCTCCCCCTCAAAAAAAAAATAAGCCATCCATGTCCCCTTCCCTGCTATATATAATTCAGACACATATACAGAAAGAACAGCTTCTCCTTTCTGAACTGAAAAAAAGCTCTGAGCTAAGGGCTTGGAATATATGTACTGAAGCAAAAATACTTCTTTAATCTCTCTAGGCAAAAATGACAAGGCAGCCCAATTTGCATTCCGAGAAAAAATTGGTCTCGTAGGCGTTGTACTGGCCATCATGGCCTTTGTCGGCTTTTTGACATTTGGCTTTACACAAACCGTATGCCCACGGCCCCCTCTCAGTTTCCGAGTAAACAAAATCAACAGCGGCTATGTCATTGTTCACGGCTGGGCCTACATGTTGGCCTCATGGAACGACCATCCCATCATTGCGGAACTGACAGACGAACCGACCAACCCAGTCTATCCACCTATCGATGCAGGCGGAAAAGACGCTTCGTTTCTGTTTCAAAGCGACGAGCAAGGCGTCTGCACCAATGTCTTCACTCCCAAAATTAGTGGACAGCCTCAACAAACCGATGGAATCTATTTTCCTTGCCAGCTCTTTGATCCAATGACAACAAATGTCAATGTTCCCAGCAGCTCGAGCTATACGAATCAGACCGGGTGTCACAAGTCGCAAAAGGCTCGCGACGCATTCAAATCCATGCAAGAGTACGGTGTGCCCAATGGCAAAGGCGGATACGACAAAGCGGGTCGTGTATATTACGATTGGGAAGATATTGCTGGATCAACCAACTTGGCGGTCTATAACAGGTATAGTTCATAAAATTTTTGATGCATGAATTTAATAATTTCATTGTATGAATCTGACAAGCAGCTCTGTTCCCAATAGTCATGTGTTAAATCTCGACCTGTTGCGCGCACTGCCTTTGGATAGATTCAATGTACCTTCTGCGGGTCTCATCGAGCAAGCCTTGGGCAATACTGCTGCTACTGCACCAGGCCTTGGCGGCCAAGATCTGACCCGACTCATCGCATCCCATCGCGAGTCCGGCAGTCTCTGGCGTCAAGAAGCTAGCTGTTTGATGCACATTATCAAAGTTGGCGAAATCGACACCAAGAGTGTAGGATGCATTGCATCCGATGTCGTGCTCTACGTCTCGCTCGTAGTCATTCTCGGTGTGATCCTTGTCAAATTCGTCCTGGCCGTCGCGTTTGGATGGTTCTTGTCCTGGCGTCTTGGCAACTTTAAAGAAGCCGGATCGTACAGGGACCGCATGGAGCGCGACGAAGAAATCGAAAACTGGGCTTCAGAAATCAACAGACCTGCCGATGCCATTCGTCCACAGGAAAGACAACAACAGCAACGCTATTCCGTTGCTTCGAATCCTTACGCGATCGGCAAATCCAAGCGAAAAACATTGATGCCACGCACCTCTCGATTCACTCAACCCGAACCCGGTACAACTCATTTCAATGGGAACCCAGAACGACCCGTCAGTACCATTTGGAGAAACTCGCCAAGGTATTTTTTGTTTCTCCTTAACATGTGATGCGTGTGTGTGTTATGAGACTAATATAAGCTCATACACCCTTTTTTCCTCGGTCTCCTCGCCCCTCCTTTTCCACTCATGCAAAAACCAAAACACTATGTATCTCCTAGTTCACGTTATCTGGGCACATCCATGGTGTTGGGAGACAATAACGGCAGCTGTCTCTCATTACGTCGACCGAGCGATGTCACGCCATCGTCACGACCATCCACCCTTTCCGACTCGACCAACATGTCCAATTCAACCGTCGCCGTATGTCCCTTTCCCGTTTCACGCCATGCTGTGCCACAGCCCAAACCAGAATTCATGCCGTTTGGCTTTGCCCTGACGCACACCATCTGTCTTGTCACGTGCTATTCCGAAGGGGTTGACGGGCTGCGAACAACCTTGGACTCCATCGCGACGACCGACTATCCCAACTCGCACAAGCTTATCCTTGTCATTGCAGATGGCATGATCACTGGCCACGGTAACGACAAGTCCACGCCAGACATTTGCGTGTCAATGATGGAAAACTTTTTGGTCGAACCGGACGAAGTCGAACCGTACTCATATGTTGCTATTGCTGACGGTTCCAAGCGGCATAATATGGCCAAGGTCTACAGTGGCTTCTATAAATACGACGATACTACCGTAGACCCATCGCAACAGCAACGCGTGCCAATGATTACCATTGCAAAATGTGGTACACCTGAAGAAGCAAACGATCGCAAACCAGGCAATCGTGGCAAGCGCGACTCCCAAGTCATTTTAATGTCTTTCCTGCAAAAGGTTATGTTTGACGAGCGCATGACGATGCTCGAGTACGAGTTCTTTAACAATATTTGGCGAGTCACTGGTGTCAGCGCTGACAAGTATGAGATTTGTCTCATGGTGGATGCCGATACCAAGGTGTATCCGGATGCTTTGTCGCGCTTGATTAGCTGTATGGTGAACGATGAAGAAGTAGCCGGATTGTGCGGCGAAACGAAAATCGGAAACAAGACAGACAGCTGGGTGTCGATGATTCAAGGTAAAACAATTTTTCCTTCCCCCACATTTTCCATATTTATCTTGCCTTTCAGAATTTACTTACATTGGTCCGCTTACTTTCAGTGTTCGAGTACTATATTTCTCATCACCAAAGCAAGGCGTTCGAGTCAATATTTGGCAATGTTACCTGCTTGCCGGGCTGCTTCTGTATGTATCGTATCAAGGCCCCCAAGGGTGCAAATGGTCACTGGGTACCGATTCTAGCCAATCCAGATATCATCGAGCACTATTCCGAAAACGTCGTTGACACGTTGCACAAAAAGAATCTGCTGCTTTTGGGCGAGGATCGGTACCTGTCGACACTCATGCTCAGGACATTCCCGCGACGCAAGATGTTGTTTGTCCCTCAAGCCGTCTGCAAAACTGTCGTGCCAGACTCATTCCGAGTGCTCTTGTCGCAACGCCGTCGATGGATTAACTCGACCATCCACAACCTGTTTGAGCTTCTGCTCGTCTCTGACCTTTGCGGTACCTTTTGCTTTTCTATGCAATTTGTCGTCTTTATGGAACTTGTAGGCACGTTGGCACTGCCCGCCGCCATTTCATTCACCCTTTACCTTATCATTCTTGCCATCTTGGGCCAACCCGCCGTTGTGTCGCTTATCCTACTGGCTCTCATTCTGGGTTTACCAGCTGTGCTGATCGTGATGACTAGTCGCAAGATTGTGTATGTCGGCTGGATGTTTATATATCTATTCAGCTTACCCATTTGGAACTTTGTGCTCCCGACTTATGCTTATTGGCACTTTGACGATTTCACATGGGGTGAAACACGTAAAGTAGAGGGCAGTGGAAAAGACGAAGCGCATGGCGACAAGGAAGGCGAGTTTGACAGCTCCAAGATCACCATGAAGCGATGGAATGAGTACGAGCGTGTGCGCAAAATACGCGAAGCCCAAGAAAAGCAACGACGGCTTGCAGCTCAGCGATATAACAACAGTAACAATCGATACAGCTACTATCCGTCAAGGCCATCATCTCCTCCAAGAAATTTCTTGCCACCTGTAATGCCGTTCTCTTCGTATCAGCGTGATAGCGAGGACGACTGGATGGAAGAGTACATGGATCCCCCAGAGCCATTGATGCTACCCGATACACGATTACCTATGCCACGATATCACATGGAACAAGACGAAAAAGAAGAAGACTGGGAGACCAGCGTAATTCGATCCATGGAATCGTCAGCTAAACCAGCCCCACCACCTCCATCAGCATCGCCTCCGCCCGAGTTGCCACCTAAATCAGATGATAACGACAATGTCAGCACGCAGAGCACCGATTTGGAACGGACGGACGGACGAGAAGAATCAGAGGAAGAAGCCAGCACGACAGTTGCTCCGCATGATGAAGATGACGACGACGATCATCTCCGTCAGCATAGCGAGAGCGAGCATAACGACTGTGGTACCGACGAGCATCATCCGACAAGCAGATCAAGATAATAGAAGAGCTGGATATATTAACCACTGCCGTTCTAGCACGCATTTGTCTACTAGAATATTCCGGAACTGAGACCAATCCTCAGTAGTAGCATTACCCTTTCAATTTATCTTTCTTTTTTTGCACGAAACACACGCACACACTATATACCATATGATATACATTATCGCCATTACCATCAACGCACATTTCCAAAAGCAAACTTAGCAATACCAATTCACATTTTGCATACCCTTCACAGAAACAGCAACAACACATGCTACTAGTATTCGCTTTTCCATATTACCATACACTAATCCATTACATCCTCTTCTTCTTGCTATCTCTTTCTCCGCTTTTTTTTGTTCTTTTGGTCATTTTTTTTTAAAAATGATGATGAGAATCTAGTCATCTACCTTTCCTTTCTTTTCGCGTAAACATGAATAAGCAACCAAGAAGCGTGTAGATGTAATTTGCTGTCCAAAGAGCCGCGGATTCAATCGGGTACTACTACCGTTCTTTTCCACGGAGTGGGCTATTGATGTCGCTTTGATAATGCTGTCTGCGCTTTACAAAAACTTGAGAATGTGACTTACACATCATTCTTGAGCTCACATGCAAGTAAAAAGAAGAAGACTCCTATCTGTTAGGAACTCTATTATTGTCATGGTTATTTGAGGAATGACAACAGGAGTAATGTTGCTGTATGTAGGAGCATTTTATTGAGTAAGCAGATGAGAACCAGGTACGAGCAGGAACGCGAAAACGAAGAGGAACTAAACCATAGGAAGCAAAATCATGTAACCGCACTAATACTGAGATGGTACGACTTCAAAGTTTTTTTTGGTTGTGTTTTTTTTCCTTTGGAAAACGGCGTATTTCGAATGGTATATGTGAAAGTTGCGTGGAGATATTGTTGAGTTATGGGAGCTTAGCATAATCGACTGTGTAGCCAAGCAATTGTTACTATTACTCATGATGTAGCTTACAGAAAGAAAAGCATATGAAAATTCCTTAAACTTATTTTCCGTAGTACGTACGCTTATGCGGGGAGCGCATTAGCAGTGACAATCAAAACATGAAAATATATCACGATCGAACTAACCAAAATAATGATATTAAACATCATCATAGCTTTTTCTTGTTCCTGGATCTCGGACTTGATGCTTCTAGCAAAAGTGCTACGCGCTACCCTGTGTTTGTTTTGTTTATTTTCATAGCAGCACTTGCTACCTGTACAGGTTAACTAGTTGAAAAAGGAATGGGGAACACACCCATACAAAATTCATTTCCCAGGCGGGGAAAGTTTTTGTGGTCAGCGGTTGAGACGCTGGGGTGTACAGACTATTTAACAATACCAAAGACTTACGTGACACGAGCTGATCGTATTTAACGTTGGACAAATCTTGATCGATGAACTGTATAAAAGGCAAAACAGAAAAAAGGTATTGGTATAGCTTATCGTTCATATTGACGAGAAGAATAACAACGAATCATGGCTTTCAAGAAAGTTCTCGCCTTGACGGCATTGGGTCTCTCCATGTCTGTTCAATATGCTTCTGCATTGACTGCATCCAGCATTGGTGACTGCCCACAATTGGCAGCACGCTCTTCGCCTCCAGCCGGTCCTCATGATTTGCGTCCTGACGACATTAAGGTCATTGCTGCCATGGGAGACAGGTGACTAATAAGCAATTAGTTGCTGCTGCTACTAAATGCAACAATAACAGATGTTCACTAACTCACGAATGCTTATTTTATACCCATATATTTAGTATTATGGCCGGATTCGCTTTGGAAGGCAATGATCCGGACGGCTCTGGAATCTTAAACATCTCTTCGATTACCGAATACCGTGGCCAAAGTTGGGGTATTGGCGGTGATCCTGGAGCCGTTACACTGGGAAACTTTGTCAACCACTACAATGCCAGTCTTGAGGGTCCTTCAGTGGGAAATCATATTGCTACTATCTGCCATGGTAATTTGCATCATAGCATGTACTTTGATTGATATAAACTCATTATCATTACTTTTCAGGTGCTTTCTGCTTGGATGCGTTCCGCTTTAAGAACAAGGACATGTTGAATGCCGCGTTGTCTGGTGCCATTGCAATGAACTTGGAAGATGAACTTGATTACCTTATCCCTCGCATGAAAGAACTCCCTGATATTAACTACGAGACTGACTGGAAGATGATCACTATTCAGATTGGAAGTAAGCATTGTTGCTAGCATGAATTACTAGCTGTATTATTATTGCAATCATGATAATTCAGGTGATATTAATTGCAATATATATGTATGGCTCTTAGGCAACGATCAGTGCGCCTCTTGCCTGAACCCCTTCATGGGCGAAGTTACTACTGAGAAGTTTGGAGGCTATTTGGAGGCTGCAGTCGAACGCATTTACAATGAGATTCCTCGTGTCCTTGTAAACCTTGTCGGCAGCTTCCATGTGTCTGCGGTGTACGATTTGACTTATGGCCAAGAGCACTGTTCGCCTATTTTCGATAATCCCAATGCGATTTTGAACCGTGTCGAATGCTCGTGCTTCCTTTTCGGCGAAGATAAGCGCGCGAATATGGATGCACTTTCCGACAGCTACAATGATGAATTGACTAGCATTTATAACAGCTACAAGGCTAAGGAATCTGAGAACTTTGCTATCCGATACACCCCTGCCAATTTCGACGTTGGTGGGTTCCCTATTGAAGTCATGAGGTACAAATATAACTACACCAATTTTTTCTCGCTTGTAGAGAATAGTGAGCTGCATATCAACAGTTATTTTCTTTTTCTTTTAAAATTAATCTAGCAACGTCGACTGCTTCCACCCTGGTAAACTTGCCCATGAATGGGTCGCTAAGGTATGCAATGATGACAATTCTTCTCTTCATCTTTTTGGATGACAGAAGTCAAGCCAACTCATCTTTTCGGTTTAATTTTTCTGCCAGGCAATCTGGAATACTCTCTTCATTCCACAATCTCAAATCCCTTCCGAAAGCGTCACCTACGATGCAAATGAGCAGGTATGTTTGTCGATAGAGTAGTTTCCTAAAATCCGCAAACACGAGTAAAATTCAAACTAGATTCACTAATATTTGATAATATGTTGATTATATATATGATCAGATCTACTGTCCTACTGAGGACGACCGTATCCGCACTGATTAAGAGCAAAATTGGAGCTCGTTAATAGTGGATGATATTTCTTCTCTATATTTTATCACTTTTGTAATTTACTTTGCTTTTTATTATGAATCACCCGGTCGTGATTTCTACCTAACTATATACATACTTTTTCGATAATCTGTAATTTCTATATCAAAGTTATTCCTGTAGTAGTAACAATATATAAAGGACAATTTAAAAAACCCTTTGACTACCGTCGTATATTATTGCGCCATCTTTAAATCTTGTAATGATAAAGACTCCTTCTCTTAAGCTACTGCTATTATTACTACAGTTGCTACTATATCATGTCGCCGGGATCATTAAATAATCACCGGTTCTTGTCACAGACAACGTATAACACACAATGCTGTTTGTGTATATTCCTTTACGCTTTTTGGCATTAAAAAACAGCAACAGTTACACCTATAACCTTTACTAACTGTAATTACAGGACGTACCTATCATCACACAACAATAGAATATTTTGGTCAGGGTCATTAATGTATTGGCTCTTTTCCCTTCCTTTACGTTTTAGTACAGTGGTGGTTTTCTTCTTTATAGGGGCTTGAGCAAGTTATCCGTAGTTCTTTGTATCTGATGCAACAATCGCAGTGTGCACGGAAGATGTAGAAAGCTTTAGCATATACTACATCAAATTTAGATGTCGCTGATTGTTACCAGTACTATGTAAAGCCTACGGATTTTTTAAATAAATATATGCTTGAGATCGGATGACGATACTGCTCTCCCCTTTTGACTTTGTATCACATACATACACAGAACACGTCGATGCAACTTGTCTTTCTCCCCACATTAGTATTAATGCCTATTCACTTGTTGTTGGGTGTTTTAGCATATGATAGCTTATACAGATAGTTTCTTACTACCCGGAGGAACCACATGGTCGGGAAAGGGGTATATGCATAATTTTCCTACAAAGAGTTCACACATGACATATTTGTTCGTCCGTTTTTTTTATTAAGGCGTGTTTTCGTTATAGCTTTTCTCCTGCAAACAGATGCTTCATAAATCTATTATCTTCGTGAACCTATTGGTGGATGAAAAACCTTGAGAGTAGGAGCGGACTATGATAATGAAAAAATTACTGATTTAGTCATATACTATATGGAAATATACGGATCTCGATATAGCCTCAGATCGTCTTACAGTATGTTTATTTTGATGTTGAAGAACACAGCAATACGTATTGTTATACCGGTAAAAAAAATCGCACTAATAGCATCCGTAGGCCAGAAAAAGCTTTTAGATCACTTGATACTGCTCTTCTTTTGTTTACTATAGGTTTCGGGTAACAAGAATCGGTTCACAAAGAAAATTGCAGCACACAGCCCCGTCATCATCATCATCTTAATAAGGTTACTCTTATCTGTCTCATCCCTCTGCTATGTACAACACCATGTTGTCGCCCAGGCTGTTGTTCTTGTTGCCGCTATAAGTTCCTGAATTACGCATGATGATGTATATTCATAGATCAACAAGCAACAACGCTACTACTATTAACAATAACCAAATTTGACGCTTCTCACATAGCTCATGAGTAAAGGTAAATACTTTTGCTTATCTGTTTAGATACCTTCAGCATGTTTATTTGATTGTATTATCATATGCGAGAAACCGCAGAAGAAATACATCATGATGTATGTACAAAGACCACAAACATGACATCTAAGCATTTGTTGAATCTCCTGTTGTTTTTATGCGTTTGACGTCTAGTCATATTCAGCGTACATATTAAAAAACCAATTGTAAGATCACGCCATTTGCAATCCATCCTAGCATCTCCATGCCATTCTGAATTCGCTTAAACCGCCGGTTCCTCCTTCCCGCCCTGCACCCCAATCATTTTTCATAATGTACTTTTGCTCTATAGGATATTCATATAATGGGAATTCGAACTGAAGCAAGATCAAGAATAATTTTCTTTCCAGTAGGCGCAAAATATATTAAACACATAATCACACCCACTTCCAGTTACACTAGTGCTGTACAGAATAGTCAGTCTAGAAATTTAGTTACCTTCAAAGATCGATATAATAGTGCCCCAGTTGTTTAAGTTACTAGTGCTGCTGGCTCGTTACGTCCAAACCGTCCAAAAGTACGTTTAACATGCAGGTTCAATCCGGCCTCGTTAATGAATATGCAACTTGCGAAATCGATGTCTGGATTGTTGTTGATATCCAGTACCCTGTCCATACGCTTCTTGATACTTTCAGGTCATGTACGTATTTCTGGTATATTTGTACGCCTATTTATCGTAAGTCCACACTTTTGTACCGGGTGTTTATATAAGCCACTTTGTGCGATTGCCAGACCGAACCTGTCCCAAAGTAATTCTTGCGCTTCCTTAATTGTCTTAGTTGGAACATCACCGTGAAATTTCTGTAAAGCTGCCGTGTGCTCAGCAGTTACTTTGCCGGTCTTCCTTTCGAAATTTTCATTTTGCTCGGTTACTACGATTTTTCGAATATTGAAACGATTTCAAAGATTCTGAGCATCACAGACAGGCATAGTAAGTTACGAGCAGCTGCAGCTGCGCTAAAGGTAACATTTAAATCATATCAATGAGTTGAGCAATCTGCATATCGTCGTATTCTCTGTATGGTTACGTCTAATAATAGCACATCAGAGACTCTAAACAATATGAATAGAGAAGAGACACAATGCAATGCATAGCTGATGTTATATCCTCTGGGATTCACAACTTGCTTTGGCGGATGCTTTCTGGGTTTTTATCTTGGCTTTTTCTCCGTCAAATTGGTTTGTTGTCCGTCAGCTATGGCTTCCACTTTGATAGATTCTTTTAGCACGTCGAATTCCGTATAGAACCCATTAGGTACCTCATGCTGTATCATGATTATAAGGAGGTTGAGAATTGTGCAGCTTAATAAATGTATAGATGTTTATCGTGTACCTTTTCAGATAATTGGCTGTTCTCGCCATCGAAACCAGTGAACGGAATGAATCTTTTCCCATGTTTAATTCAGTATTCACAATGTGGAATAGATCGCAAGCGCAACAGGCTCTTCGATAAATTCTTTGCCTTCAAGATCATTTCATTCCAACATGGCCAAACGGCAACGCAGTATCATACTTGGCTCCTTCTATGTCGGCTGTTTTCTCACCTGTACACAAAGAGGGTGCATAAGCTTGGAACATGATACTTTAAAAAGAGTACCAAGAAGGGGTGAAAGAGGAGAAGCTGACTACCATCTTATTACTTCACTCGGTTTTTATAGTCGTCAACAGTGAGCCACGTATATCTTGGCCAGCAAACACTTCTATGGATTGGCAGCCATAATCATTCCCAGACACAGACAAAACACATCCGATCTTTCACAATATAGTCTCACAATATATAAAAACCCATATATTAATCAAATGCACCAAAACGAAATACACCAAATGCCAAACTAGAATTCACGCGACGCCAGATTGAATTTCTGTTTATGCCAGAATGAAAACCATCGTCGGCCATTCTAATTTTTATCACGCGCCAAGTTAAATCCCCCCATCGGCGAAATGGGAAAATTGTGTCACGCCAAAATGAAAAGGAAGGTGCACCATCTACTATTAAAAGAGAAGTGGTCCTTACGAAGTTACCCTTTTTTGGTAATTCGGATGGCTAAGCCCCGACATTTTTTTTCAACTGCCCTGAAAGCTTTTTTGTCTTTACACTGATTCCCTACTTCAACTTCGGTCTTTTTCTTACAAAATGAATTCGCAACAAGTATGTCGTTAGATTAGCTGGAATTGTGTTGTACCTTATGTACCTTACGATATCCAAAAGAAAAACCTTTGTTTGAAGAAAAGCGAATAAATATTAAATATGTGTATTCTCGGCTAAACAGCAAAACCAACCCGAAATTCGCACCTGTGTTTGCGGTGCAACCACCCATTCAACTCGACGCCATCGTGATTGTCCTTTGAATGAGCGTAATGTGCGCCGTAGACTTGACAATGTATGCTTCTTTTCATCCGTATTGGGAAATTAGCGAAATGCTTAGACGTGCGAAGCGCTTTAGGACGTGTTTAGGGTTTAGAGGTTGGGGGTGTTGGGGGGAACGTCCCGCAAAGTCGTTTAGATTACTACATTTTTTGTGTTTTATGATTTCCTTGCTCTGACCAATTTTACGTGTAGGATCCTTTCATGTTTGAGCAACCTGACACTCAAGATGAGCAGCGTCGACCCTGCCCCCACTGTGGATCAACCACGCACCAACGGTCTTCGCATCGCGATTGCCCTGCCAATCCGAACAATAGATTGGAAAGCGCTGAAGCGACTGGTATGTGTTAGAACGCTGTGTTTGACTAAGGTGTCTTAGTGTATGCAAGGTATATACTTATGCATGAATTCTAGATTCTCGGTCCGATGATGCGCCATTAGCAGAACCTGTTCGCACATGCTCAAGCTGCGGGGCACCTGGCCATTCGCGACGAACTTCTGAAGAATGTCCTTTCAATGAAGCAAACGTTCAGTCTGAGCATGGAGCACAGTATAAAGTTGCGTGCACTATTCCTTTCGTCGCTGAGAGTGTGTTCGGTCCCAACATTTGTTTTACACCAGGAGACAATTTCCATCGACACGTTCTTGCTCGCATGAATGCTGTTTGTACGTTTTGTCAGGCACGTATGTGGATTGAGGAACGAATCACAAGTTCTTCAGTCTCGAACCCACGTTTCAGTATTTGCTGCACACACGGCAAATTACAGTTACCCATCCCTCGCCATCCGCCACAAGAAATCATTGACCTTTTGACCAATGGAAATGATACTAGCGACGATTTCTTCACCAATATTCGCGCTTATAACAACATGTTTGCATTTGCGTCCATTCGAGCAAACTATGATCGCAATTTAGCTGACGGATCGCAAGGTGTTTCAACTTTCCGCATAAATGGCACGATGTACCATTGCATGGGTGCTTTACGACCAGAGCAGCAGCAATCAGCCAACTTTGCTCAAATATATTTTGC